TAGCGGCCAGGGACGGGCGCACGCCGGACATAAATGCTAGTCCCTGAATAAGAGCCTGCTCTTTCGATGATAAGCAGCAAGCGCCGAATTGGATCCATCCGTTGAGAATGAAATAACAGAAAGAATGAGGGAAGAAACTCGCGCTGGGGCAGCGGAAGGGGCGGCGGGTGGGATTCGGGCTGGACGGATGCTAAGGTTACCCATGTGTCTCATTGAGTGCAGAGGCCAGGCCGGTGTGAATAAATGGGGCCTTGTCACCTTGGAACTCCGTGGAAACAGATTGTTGACCTGCCGGAGCTTCGCTTTGGTTATCTTACGATGGAGATGCAGTCTGGCTGCTCTGGCAGTACGTTACGGGCTTGCTATGAGGTTTTTGTCATCAAATCAGGATGTCGATGGTGGGCTCGTTGTGACGCTGCAAGGAAACGGTCGCTTCATCTTCGAACGGGATCAAAGGGATTGAAAAGGTCCCAAGACGGGAAAGATGGGTGTTGGATGACTGATCAGGTGAGTGTTTTTTCGACGGGACGATGCAGCAGCGGATCGAGGGGTGGCTGGGCCGCGGAACGAGCAGTCATCGGCCCTGACTAGGCGCGACGCCCGATCCGATGGTGATGGGTTGGTGCTTTGCCTGCCGTGTAAGGACTGAGACGTGTTGCGGACAAAGAAATATTGGGGGTCCATCATCTGCAACCCTTTGCTTGCCTCCTGCTGATGAGTGATGGGTCATGTTTGTTCATGTTTCTCAGTGCTGAATTGAACCAACCCCGCGTAGGTGCTCAGTGCTGCGATGATCGTCTTTGCTTGGCTGGGGCTCAGCCAAATGACCGATTCGGGCAATCTCTTGGCCCAACTCAAAAGAAGTCATGAACTTCCATTGGACCAAGTCGCCAACCCTTTGCTAACTTGTCCGCAGCAGCTTGGCCGGGCGCAGTCTAATAAGCCTGAGAAAGGGAGCTCCGTCTGGCAAATATGCCTCACCTAACCAAGAGTCTTGGAGTCGAAGCCATTCTCAGGTGCCGATACTGCCAAGGCTTGTCATTTTCGAGGCGAGGTGATTTGCCAAGGTGTGCGCAAATTTCGAGCATTCAGTAGTGCTGTCAACACTGCTCAGTGCTCCGTAACCGTAGTGCCGTACTCTCTACCCGTAAGGTACTAAGAGTCAAGACAATAACAGGAAAGAAAGATGGGACATGGCGGCGGTTACTAAGTGTCGACAGAAGCGACCATGGCAGGGGATTCCTTTGGTCAGTCAGGTACGGCGGTTCGTTTGCTGTGGCATTCCCGAGAAATCTCCCAGTTGCCCCAATGGAACCTGGAAACATCGGTGAGAGCGGAAGACAAGTGCCAGACTCATACTATGGATGGAATTACCTTAGTACGCGACTGCCATGATCGTCATAAAGGGACGGCGGCGGCAGCGACTAACCTAAGCAGCAGAGTCAGATGGGTCCAAGTGATGATGACAGAGAGCCATGAGCTTGAAAGAGTTAAGAGTCTGCCTACCTGGTGTTGCTGCCACAAGGTATGCCAATATCGTAAGGGCGCGGAATCAATAGGAAAGCAGATGCAGCCCACAGCCCGGCGGAGGTCGGCGAACCGGTGGCCCTGCGAACCCACCGGAACTTTGAAGGGTGTGCTAGGGCCTTATCTCGGCTCCGGCCCCATGAGATGATCCATGTCATCCAATTGTCCACCCAGTCTGGCAGACTCTGTGCGCAACAGCACTACCTTAGGCTAAGGGCTATTGTTTAGTCGTGAATCTGGAATAGCGTTGTGACTTGCGAATGCCTACCTTACCCTACGTCAGAGGGGAGCGGGAAAGCAACCAGAGAGCTTGATGCTGGTGAGAGATGGAGAAATTCCCGCAGCAATAAAGACAGACGTACAACAGATAAACAGACGGGCTGCAACTGTTGCGCTACAGGAACACACAACACACGCACTCCCCTGTATCGGGCGAGGAGTGTAAGTGGTGATGACAGGGGGCCTCGAGCGATCAGGCGTGGATTCCCCACACCGGGATGCCTGTGATGACCCTGCCGTGTTCCCGGCATCCATGGAGACAAGCTTTTTCTGTTGCTCGCTTGGCGCCGTTCTCTCTGCCACTAGCAGAGCAACCGCGACCGCCGATGCCACCTCACGAGTACTCTTCACACACTAAGGCACTACACAGCAATGTACGGATCGCGACATGCCAATGGTGGCAGTTCACCACCAAAGAGTGCCCAGACGTGATGACACCGCCAAGTACCGCGACCTGTGAAGATACTTTCTTGTCGCCTTTCATCGTCAAGTTGCTACCTACAGATACCTCAAGTACCTACCTACCTTACCTTACGGTGATGATGAGGTACATACCTGGCTAAGATCCAATGGGAAATACCTTCCCATCACCATTGGGTCTTCCTTCTTATTGATTGCTCGCCTTGCCAATCAGCCGACTATTTGAGCAGCTATTTCCTTCCTCGCCCGCCCTCCTCATTAACCCCTCCCTTCCCGACTTACCTTACCTTACCTTCCTCTTCGCCGTCCTACTTCTCTCATCTGTCCTCCAGCTCAATCACTCGACGATCCCATAATCAGTCAATTCCTTCCCCAATTGATTCTCGTTTCCTCTCACAAAGGTATTCACTCTCGTGCTGCTTGACCTCTCCATGAGCTCCAGCTTCATAAGCCAAGCTTCGTACCGTCGACGCTGACAAACTGCGCTTCTAGCCGGCCTCCCCTAGTCGCTGCGATCGAGCCACCAGGTCCTTTTCCCCACCTCACTCTCATCGTCCGACGTTGAGCTCTCTCTCATCTTCAGCCAAGGTAAAGTAACTTTCTCTCAGTGCGCATTCTTTCCAAGTCTCAATTCTGCTGCAAAAAATTGTTCTGGAATGTCAATTGGTCTTTGCGACAATCTCTACGAGCTTCGCCCAACACCCGACAACTACATCACGAAGAAAAACAACATGTGGATATCATCTCTAGACGCCAACGCCGGATACCCCGGGAATGACGATGGGCGCATCCAAGTTCACAGGGCTCTTAAAAACAAAAGCAGACGGTCGTCTCCATAAAATGCCTCAATTGGACAAGCTCCCTCACCTCTAGCTCTGATGTTTTTCTACGGATCCTGACCGCATTGGGAAAGCATCACTCATCGCAAACAGTCGCCGCGAGCTTTCCTCTCATACTTATTAACTCACTCGCCCGTCATCGTTGCTCTCTATTTGGCTTTTCGATTTTTGCTACTCTTCTTTGTCTCATCAATCCTCTTACTCCAATTTGCTGACCAGTCTCTTCTTCCTCGTACAGCCGACTCTTCACTCCACTCACCTTCCGTCAAAATGCCTGCCGTCAACACTCTCGTCGCCCGCGACGCCGTTCACCAGCTCGCCAAGCGCCAGAACTGGGCCCAGCAGGAGGCCGGTGTTGTCGTCGTCTTCTGCATCATTTTCATTGTCGCTCTCGGTGTCTCTGGTCTCATGATCTCCAAGTGCCTCGCCAGGCGCAAGGCAGAGAGACAAGCCAAGGAGTCCCAGGGAGCATAAGCAAGACCTCGTCACCTCTTACAGGGGCCAGAAAGAGGGGAGCGGAGCTGGGAAAGTAATGAATCAAGCTCCAAGCCGAACACGCTTTGAAGCCAGTAGAAAGTCGACTCTCTTGGTCACTTATACACCTACGACACGGTGAAGTTGGACGAGAGAGTCGCGACTGGCTACATGCGAAGGAGCCAATACCATCTGTCGACAGCAATCATGTTCACACCATACACACACACACACACACACACACACACACACACACACACCAAACGGATCACTCACTACCTACCGATTGCCGGTTTCGATTCTCGACACTTCGTCATAGTCTGCAGGATTGGGGTCTCACGAAAGGCGTGTACTAAAGAAAAGACATCCGGGCTGTACATGGCAGTATCACGACTACACGGGGGTTAATGCGCCAGGGGGCGGCTGTATGTCAATCGCGATGCCACAGATACCTATTTCACAACAATTTTAATGATACCTATTTCACGTTGCGCAAAGCAGTTCAATCGTCTCTCGACCATCGTTGACATCTCGTGTGTTTGCTGGAGTGTTTATTCAAGGTCTTGCTTTCACTAACACAGACCTTCCTTGTCTTCTGTTAGTAAGTGACCCAGAAAATTGGGTCTGGTTGTAATCCACCCTTCTCTTCATCTCCATTTTCCGTTTGAGAGAACCTGTCCCAATCCCGTTGATTTCATCTTAAACAGTGCAAGGTATCGATAAAACCCGGACATCAGATGGCATGATATCAGCATGCGACTGACTAACTTTTTTCTCAATTCGGTGAGCAGACACCCCCGTCACAGGAAATCAGACCGAAAAAGAACTTGGCACCGATCGCGCCGTGTCCCTGATGCATGCAGCCACACGTGGGACTTTTGAGACAAGACGCCTCTTTTGTATCTTGGTGCTCATTGTTTACCTACCTACTAGTACGGAGACATTCCAGAGGCGCATTCATGGTGAGGAAGGTTACCTATTAGGTGCTATATCTTTGGGACTTGCGTCGCGCTTACATGCCCTCCCAACCCGAAAGGATCGCTCAGCTGGGCCAGGTCGCCGGGTTTTCATCTGCTAGTGCTGACGCGTGAAGGCCCCCCACTCTACTAGCAATCACAAACCCGAGATACTAAATCCTTATCCCGGACCGGGTTAACGAGCCTGGAGTTCATCCGTGATGACGGCCTCACCTTGTAGTCGAGGCCTCAGCTCTGTTTTGTCGGTGCTATGTCCGCGTCGTATATAGGGTCATGCGCTTCGCTCTAATAGTCCCCGGGTCGTCTACTGTTTAATGGGTTCACATGTTCCTATTGCGCGGTTTCGAGCAAAGAGTGCTCCAGTGTCCAAACGTATTCATCCGCCACAAGTTATTATCACTCAATACGAGCCAAGCCAGGCATATCAGACCACAGCCTCCAACAATATCCAGAAGTGGTAATCAGATCCCACGATACCCTCGCAATGGACCCACAACCACCGCCCCCGAGGCCCGACAGCCCCCCGCGCCGGCTCCGCGCATGCGCGCCGTGCACTCGGGCCAAGGCCCGTTGTAACTTCCGCGACGAGAACGCCCGTCGGCACCTCTGCGACCGGTACGTGCTCCCACTGGCTCGAGAGGGCGAAGAAGAGTTATGGCATTCTGTCTGTGGGAGTCGGATTTGCCGTTCATAACCCATGTACACTGGGACTGACACGAAGTGGCGGGGGTTTAGATGTGAGCGGCTCAAGATTGACTGCTCGGCCAAGACGAGGGGTATCAGGAGGACGCGGCAGATCAAACCTCTGGTCAAGTAAGTGTTGTTCCTCATGGGTCACCCGTCTCGTTCGCCAAAACTTCTGATGATGGGCTGGGTGTGAACGCACCCACGGGAATAGTGGCATCTCGAGACAACAACGGCCCTGGCTTCAGAATTTAACTAACACGAACAACCACAGCCGCGTCGCAACACTAGAACAACAAATAGCCCATCTCGTAACACCAGAAAAGTCCCCAGTAGCCTCGACACCCTCGGCAGAGACCTCAGGCTCAACTCCCTCAACCTCCTCGCCTCCCTCTCACCCAGACTCAAACTCACACTCCCACCCAGCACCCCTAATCCAACGACACCAACCAGGCCCCGTAACCCAAAACCCCCCCTCCTACTCCCACTCCTCTTCCTCCTCCCCCTCCTCCTCATCCTTGATCGTAGCAACATCGACGACGACAAAACCACCCCTGGGCCTGACCTGGTCCCAAGCATCCAACGTCCTCGCCGACTTCCGCGCAAACTTTGTGCCCAACTTCCCCTTCATCCAGGTCGACGGGCCCTCAGTAGACCCGGGCTCGGGGTCCCCGCAGCGGCTCGCGCGCGAGAAGCCGTTCCTGTTCCGCGCCGTCATGCTCGCCGCCGCGCCGGCGGGGAAGACGAGGGCCGAGGCGATGCACCGCGAGTTGTTGGCCGAGATGGGGGCGCGGATGATGCTCGAGGAGGAAGGCGGGTTGGACTTGTTGCAGGGAATGCTGGTCATCATATTGTGGTCAGTCACGGGCCCGTCACCTTTTCACCGACTTACATCACGTTCCTTGCCGGCGTCTACTGGTGTCTTTTGAAGATAGAACCCCCCCCCTCCAAAAGAAGCATCCCACTGACATTGCACGTCATGAAACAGGGCGGAATGTAGATACTGGTTCGACAAACAAATCACCCGCCTCGTCTACACGGCCCTGGGCTACGCCCACAGCCTAGGCATCACCAAACCCCCGCGCTCCCTCCTCCAACCTTCGCCCTACCACCCCGGAGGTTCTCAACAACAACAACACTCATACCCGCACCCCTACCAACAACAGTGGCAGCAGCAGCATCGACAACAACAAGAACCAGAAGACTGCTTCACCAACAAGGCAGCCCTCAGCGCGACGGAGCACCACACCCTCGAGGAGCAGCGCACCTTTCTCGGCCTCTTTTGCGTCGTCTCGTCCAACTGCGCGCAGTTCGCCCGCAAGCAGAATCCCCTCCTGCACTGTCTCGGCTCGAACGGGCCCGGGAGTGGGTCATTTTCTTCTCAGGAGCAGCAGCATCGGACGGGCCTCGGGTATCTAGATATCTGCTACGAGAACCTAGCCGCGTCAGGGAGCCTGGAGGACCGGATGGCGGCGAGGATGTTCAAGATGGCCGCCGTCTCTGCGCGCCTCACTGATGGGTTCGGTCCCGTGATGGACTGTGAACGCGGAACGGGAAGGGGAATGGGCGAAGGGTTCGAGGAGGAGGTGGGAAGACTCCGGGCGCAAGTGGATGATGTGTTGGAGGGTCTTGATCCGCGGGATCCTTATTACGGTAAGCCATCCCCTCCTCTTACTCTTCTCCCAAAGTCCATGATGATGTCTTTGAAGCCCCTCTCCAACAGTGGAAGAAACCGTAGCTGACATTCAATCTCAGCATACCTCAACCTGCAGCACAAAGCCCTCCTAGTCCAACTCTACGAACCAGCAACAAAACACCCATTTCCCTCCTCCTCACCATCTCCATACCCCGCAGCTTTCCAAAACACCACCGCCGCCACCACCCTAAACCGCACAACCTACTTCCGAGCAGCCCTCTCCGAAGCAAAAGCCTACTTTGCCGCAACCCTCGCCCTGCCCCCAGAAGCCTACGTCTACCGCACCTCAGTCGGCATGGGCCTAGCCCAAGGCGTCCTTGCCGTCACCACGCGACTGCTAATCCTCCACGGCGTCCCGGGATGGGACCTCCCCCGCGCCCGCGCGGACGTCAAATTTGCAGAAATCTGCGAGAACCTGGTCGCGTTTCTCGGAAGGGTGCTGCAGGTGGGCAGGGAGAGGATGGGCCGGCTGAAGGAGGAGACGTGGGTCCGGGGAGTCGGTGGTGGGGGCAGTAGTTGTGGAAGGGCATACAATACCCTCGAATTCGACTGGGATGATATCAATGGTGGAAGCGAGATCGATGCGAGGGGCTCCATGTGCGAGGACTTGATTGGCAAGATGAGCTGGATCAAGGGCTGGTATGAGAGCCGTGTTCGAGCGGAGGACGGCGGCCTGACTACCGCTACCACTCCTGCCACTGCTGGCGGTGGCGTCGGGAATGCAGAAGCGGCAAATAAGGAGTTGATGGAGGAGATTGCGAGGATCTGGCACTGGCCTGCGGACGCGGCGAGTATGCCCATGTTTGGGGGTTTGATTAATCCCTTTGATATCTGTTACGATAGTATTTGACGATACGCGATGTCCTTTCACGATTCCCATCTCAAAGAAATAGACTTTTCGAGCACGTAGGCGTATTCGCTGTGCTATATCTATGTAGAGAAATGTAGAAATACAAAATCTGGGTATGTCCTGGGTTTCATCCGTTCGCTTGTCGTTGCGCCATGGTGATAAGCAAAGTCAGTCAGTACAGTCTATCGTTACATACGGTCTATCACCTCCATCCCTCGAATCCAGGCCATCTCTGAAAGCTCGCTTGGAATCTTCTGTCGCAGACGCACACACAACCGAGTGTGCATCAATTATTGCCTCACCTGAATCCACAACCGCTCGCTCAGAGGAAATCCCAAGCAATCAGCATCGGCAGTGCCACCAATAGAAATATGCAAGAGATGAGCGCTGGGATGACGGGCGGCACAGACTCAGCTGCTTCCTCGAGGAACCAGAATAAGTCGGCTAGCGGTACGAGAACCACTCTACGGAGCAGGTCGATGGCGCTCCGTGAACGACGGCAGCAGCGGCAGCGGGTCCAGAAGCTGTGGCGGTAGTTGACATCGTCGTGCTTTGGTGCTGAGAGAGCATTCCGCACATCGGCACTTAGGTCTGGTAATGACCGGGAAGGAGGCCGGCCTTTTGTCCATTGTCAGCATGAAGTTTCATGATAGTCCTCGAGAAACAAAAGAGATGAACGCTGAAGCATGCAACATAGGTTGTATGACGGACTGTTACAGTGGGTGAGATGGTGGGGACATCAACGGGAGTAGGTGGGTGCAGATGGACAAAATAAGTGGAGGACCGGGAAGAAGAGAAGATGCCAAAAAAAAGTAGGATTAGGCAAGTGGGTAGGGTTGAACGCCGGAGACTCACCGAGAGGTGTCCGGGGCGGCAGCGGCGACCGGGCGCCGGGGGCCGGAAGGGGAGACCGGCTGCCGTCGGGCGGGATTTCCTGGGTCCGGCCCTTGGTTCTGGCGTAGTAAGCTGGCTAGCTGTTAGAATAGGTACCGAGAGAAGTGCATGACAGAGGAACTCAGGAAGAGATTGCGGTGAAGATACGTACGCATTTTCGCTTACTCGAGCTTTATTGCCGGCGGAGTTTGTCCTACTCTCTCGGGCTCGGGAATACCGGACGAGGAGCGAGGCTGATCGTGTCGATGTTGGACGCTCTTGTTGGCTCCGGTCGGCTGGACTTCAATCGCTAGAGCCGGGACGCAGATGTTGATGATGCCAAAGTTGAAGGGCTGGCATTCCTCAATAAAGGGAGAGAGATTGGGCGGGGAAAGGAATGTTGCAAGCGGAATTGCTTTGGTGGCGGTCCGTTTTAGCTTGGCCCCCTTTTGATCCCCCTCGTTTTTCTGTTTCCTGTAGGTCCCTATCCGTACAAGATTGGGGCAAGGAATCGTGTGGTATGGATGATTCAATTGAACAAGGCTCTTGGACCTCCTTTGTTGTTTGGGTGCGGGCGAGATGCCGAGCCGACTGGTATAAATCTGGAATGGGTAGTCGGGAAGATTGAGTGTGATGGGATGCCAATGTCGCTATGTGGATGCCAAGACTAAGGGCCAACTGATGGGAAGAGTGGACAGTTGATGCGGTGGGCGGTGCACGAGATGCAACCAAGTCTCCTCTGCGTATGTGAAGCAGGGACGAATATTCGCCGATAGCAGAAAGAACGGATGAGGTAGGTGATGTAGCTGTTGCAGGAGGGATCTACAGCCAGCTGCAGGGTGAGATATCCGTACTTGGCAGCGACGAAATAATTGTGGATAGGAAAGTGAAGCGAGGCGAGAGGCAAATTGGTGGATAACCTCAGATACCTTTAGTATCCGTACATGTGTCCGTACCTTCCTTGCTGACCAAGTAGTAAGTAGGTAGGTGTCAAGGTGATGATTGTAAAGAGAGAAGCCACGGGCGATGCTTGATGCCAAGAAATCAAAACAGAAGGCAACTCAACCCAGCATGGTGACTGCCGTTGCTCGATTCGCACAGATGCCGCTGCAAGCGTCCAAGGAGTATTTGTTCGATATGTTCCTTCTTCGTTGCCCCGGGTTCCTCTGTACCAAGTACCGTGCGCTGCCCTGCGCGCTCAGTGCTGTGCTTGCTGTAGTGTACACTCTTTTTTAGAGTTTGGCGCCTATCCCAAGCAGTGCTGTGTATTTTTGTTAGCTTCTTCCTCCCCCGTTGATGTCCGTGGTTTTGATTGATCGAGAATGCTTGGCGTGGAGATGAAGAGGTGAGGAACTGAGGATAAGCCACAATCACCAGTCCCGCGTAAGCAATAGGATTGGCGGCGAGGCTGCTAGTGATCATCACATAACCAAGGAATCTCTGAGAGTCCTCTACACTAACTATCGCATAAACTCTATGTACTTAGCAAATGAAAGGGGGGGAACGGATGGGGGTGGTAAGGCATTTCTTCCCCGAGAAATGCCAGTTGGCCAACTCATGACTGGTGGAGGGAAACCTTCACTTCAAGTTTGGGAAGACGTTTTGCACAGCCTCCTTTTCTCGAACGCCGTCGATTGCCGGGCACCACCTTGTCGGCCCCGATGGGCGTGTGCGATTAATGCCCCCCAAATTTGCGCTTCATGCCGGGAGGTCCAGTCTAAGACTCCAACAACTGAGACTCTAAGACTCCAAGGTGAGTACGCAGTATGAGGAGGGGCGATGAGCACAGGCCCTGAAGGTAAATACTAAACCGCCAAGACTCACTGGAAATAACAAGTTGTGACGACCGAGTTGCAGAGTCCATTTCGGTACGGAGTACAATACACCTCAACGGACGAGAGATGATGTTGCCGTACGGATGCTCAGGTGGCGATTATCTGAAGCAGAACTGCTCCTCTCAATCATTTGAAACTCCCATAAGGTAGCAAAGAAGTATTGCCCGTCTTCCTAGGCTGACACTCTCCAATTCAAGCTATCCTACATGAAAACACATTACCTCCAGCCCCTTTACTTTACTTTACTCGTATTCAAAAGACCATGTGCCAAGACACATCATTAGAGCCAGCACAGCCAGCAAACCTCCGCTCAGAACCATGTATTCCTCGTGCTCAGCCTCTTATAACTACTCCGCTCCTGTCCGTTGTACCCCGTGTCAGCAGACAAGTCCTGCTTGGAATACTTGCCACGCCACGGCCTGTCGTTAGCCTCTTCGAAAAAGTAGTGATTCGCACCACTCGTGTAACCAACCCGCCACGGCACAACCAGATCCCTCTTCACCGGCCCGCCGCCGCAGCTGCCCTTGAGCTGCTCGCTCGGCGGCGAGTTGACAGCCAGCGCAAACAGATTCTGCGGCTCAGTAAAGTCCGTCACCAGGCCGGACCGGGAGAGGAGGTAGGCGAGGCAAATCACGTTGATGACGAAGACGAGGGCGAGGACGAGGTAGAAGCACTTTTGCCACTCGGCGCTGTGGCCCGACGTGTACTCCTGCGTGCGGATCGAGGCGTTGAACGGGTCCAGGCTGCCCGGCGCGCCGAGCTGCATCTTTTCGTGGCGCCAGTAGTGTTCAAAGGGGGTGTTGAGACCGCCGATGATGAGGGTTGACGAGGCGTAGACGGCGAGGGCTTCGGCTATAGAGGGGAGGAGGGGGTTGAGCTGCGGCTCTTGGAGGACGAATTGGGTGAGGATGCGGGCGTTGGAGGCGTTGTTGTTTTGGGCACCGCCGTTGATGTCCATTGACAGACGCCATTGATCCGCAATGTTCTACACAGAAACATAGGTAAGTAAGTAACGATGAAAAAGGAGGTGTTGGGGATTCCTTGCCCTCCAGTCTGTCACGGGGGTGGATTCCGTGACTTCGGTGTGGACGTTGGTGTAGCTGTCTGTATCATCGGGGTCATCGCAGTGTGCTTGCATGTGCGCTCCTGCGGTGCCCGAGATGTTGAAGTGGGTTGAGCAGTTGGGTGACACCCATGATCTCATCTCACAAAGGGTATAATCTGTGATGGACGCCGACTTTGTGAGGATGTAAATCGCGTCGCTCTCCACCGATGTGTTGGTTATCATGTTGTAGTCCGCAGGATACTGTCAGTTGCTGTCAGCCCTTTCTTCTTTCCATTTGCTCACCAATATCACATACAAGCGGGAACACCGGCGGCCGTCGCCCATAGTCTTGGCCCCAGCGAAAGATCTCATCCACCGACGTTCGATTTAGCCACTCCGTTTCCGAAGCGCCGGGAACATACTTCTCCCAATCCAATTTCCCGGTTCTCTGTCCTGGAACTGTCGTGTCGTCGTACAAAACCTTCCCTATGGGCCACTCTGTATAGACCAGTGGCTCCAGTTCCTCTGGCGACATGTTGACACACATGACGTTCAGTGCGGGCGAGACCACACTCGCTCTAATGCCGTACTCTCCTACACCCGACAAGTCATTTGGCTGGAGAATCTTGTTGACTGGATTTGTTGCTGCATCGTAGACACTCGGATGGGGAATTGCGAGCGTCACATTGTTGATTATCCTGTTGAAGCGCTCGTATTGTTCAGTCATGTTGCTATAGGTCGTCTCAATCCAAGCAGAGGTGAGCGTTGTGTTGTCGTACAACAAAGCCGATCCTACAGGGCGGTGTTGAACATCAACGGTATCGCTTGTTCCGTTGCGATTGATGGACTCCCAATCACCTAGGAACGAGACCAAGTTGCGATATGCTTCACACAAGCTGTCAGCATCACTCAAATAAACACAAAGCCTTATTAGAAAGACCTGTACGTACATTGGCCAGCATATTGCACTTCCAGGCAAGCATTTCCAGCAACATCAACACCCAATGGGTCACTATCTCGTAGTGGTGTCGGGCAGGTTTCACGGGCAAAAGGCGGGTTCATGTAGGACGCCAGAACATAGCCGCTCAATGTCTTCGTCTCCCAGTCGCCAAATTTAAGCTTTGGTGTGATCATGGCGTCTGACGCAGTCGTATAAAACGTTGAAGCAATGGTGGCAACAAGAGACACCACTCCGAGAATGGTCATACCAGCGTACGGCAGCGTCTCCCAGTGCGTGATCAGGAATC